ATGGCTACGCCGTGAGTGTCCCCCACATCCCCCTGCCCCAGCTGGGAGGCGGCTGCGAGCTGGCCATGATGTGCGACATCATCTACGCCGGGGAGAAGGCGCAGTTCGGGCAACCCGAAATCCTGCTGGGAACCATCCCAGGTGAGAAGCAGGCACCTGCCAGGGGTTTCCATCCCAGTTGGGGTGGGGACACCCGGGTATCCCTCTCTGTACCTTCCCTAAATGCCGCAGGTGCCGGCGGGACGCAGAGGCTGACCAGGGCAGTGGGGAAGTCGCTGGCAATGGAGATGGTGCTCACCGGGGACCGGATTTCAGCAAAGGAGGCAAAGGAGGCAGGTGGGGGCATGGGACAGCCCTGGAACTGCAGGGGTCAGGCAGGGAGCCATCCCCCCACTTCCCACTGCCTGTCCTAGGTCTGGTCAGCAAGATCTACCCTGTGGAGAAGCTGCTGGACGCAGCCATCGCCTGCGCTGAGAAGATTGCCAGCAACTCCAAGCTGGTGGCTGCCATGGCAAAGGAATCAGTTAATGCTGGTAGGGGCTAGGGGCCAACTGGAAACTCCCTGGGGGGCTGCCAGGCCAGGCAGAGGGGTCTCCCCAACTTCTCCCTTGCTTTCAGCCTTTGAAACGACACTGACAGAGGGGAACAGGACAGAGAAGCGCCTCTTTTACGCCACCTTTGCCACTGTGAGTAGGGGGATGATCCCATGGCATGAGGGATAACAGGGCCGCTGCAACCCCCCCAAACCTCACCTCTCTGCTTGTCCCAGAGTGACCGCAAGGAGGGGATGACAGCATTCGTGGAGAAGCGCAAGGCCAACTTCACCGACAGCTGAGCCCAAGAGATGCAGGTCCCTGGGGTGGTGCAGGTCCCCACGGCCTCCTGCAGCCCGTCCACCCCCTGCCTTACCCCGCAGAGGGGACCGGGACCCGTCGGTGAGCAATACGTGTTTGGGGTGACAGCCAGCAGTGGGGACCACCTCTGCCTTCGCTATTAAAAGGTTTTCTAGGTGCTGCTGGGAGATGGAGCATCCTTGCTGCGAGGTCCTGCCTTAGCTGGGAAATGTTGGGCTTCACTGAGCCCCCACCACGCCTCATCTGACACTAGGCTGGGCAGGAGCAGCCTCGTGGAGCACAGGTCCGTGTGTTCCCCTGCAAGGGGACAGCCTGTGGCACCTTCTGGGGCACAACACCGATATGCTGAGTTTGTCTGGCCTCAGCCTCACCTGGGCTGAACTGAGGCTGGGGTGAGTCTGTCCTGAGGCCCTGAGACTCCTGTCCCAGGGCAGCATCCTCACCCTGCCTGGTGCCTTGGAGTAATCCTGAGGGAGTTCCTGCAGGTTTGGAGGCCCTGCAATTAGCAGCAGCTTTCTGCCAGTAATGAGGAGCCCACCAGGATGTGCAGAGGGGAGTGGGTTTATTGTTGAGGCTCAAGGCTGGGTGGGAAGGGGCAAATTTCCCCAGGAAATCCCAACCCTCACTTCACAGCCCGGGCACATCTCCACTCAGCTGTGGTAGATGTGGTCACGGTCCTCCTCGGGGTCATTCTGCACCGCCACAGACAGCATCCGGAGCGGCTTGTAGATGTCATCCTCCCTGGCATTATCCTCAGGGTGGTAAAGGTAGTCACGATCCTCCTCCGGGCCATTCTGCACCTTTGGGGCCAGCATCCAGAATGGCACACGGGCACTGGCCTCTCTGGCATCATCTTGGGGCTGCTGGACTTGGGGTGGGGCCCTCTGAGCCCAGGCGCTGCTGGAGAAGACCTTTATACCAGGTTCACCCTCTGATGGCTCGTTGGCTTCTACGCCCAGGATGCTGGAGGAAGGGAACAAAATCAGCTTGGAAAGGTTGCCAAATCCCACCCTGTCCCAGGGGAATCCCACCCCAGCGGAGTGCAGGGACCCTGGCGAGATTACCCACATCCCAGGAAGCACCAGTTAGGATCTCAGGGTGCAAAGGGGCTAACTTAAACTATTTGTTCCACAAAAGGAATAGAGAAGCCAGCTGGATGCTCAGGGAGTTGGCGTAATTCGGGAAGGAAGGGAGATGGAGCTGGGAGCTCCTGAATTTCAGGGGACACAAAGCACCAAGGGGGATTTATTCCCCATCCCCCCCAAAACACTTTCCATTTTGGGATGTTGGTTTTTGCAAGCCAGACGCGGGCTCCTCTTACATTTCCTCAGCCAAGTCCTGCTCCGTGGCCAGGTCCTTCCATCGGGAGCTGCTCAGAGCCTGTGGGGAGACAAGGGGGTTCCGAGGGGGGCACAAGTCACACATGGGTCCCCTCATCAGAGGGGGCAGCAGGAGGGCAGGCTGAGGCAGGGCTCACCTGGGTGCTGCCAGGTGCCAGCAGGAGGAGGGCGATGCCCAGCAGGATGGTCACACTGCGGAGTCCCATGGTCCTCGAGTGGAGAAGAGACAGATGGCAGAGACGTGGTGGCACGAGCCCTGTGGCTGGTGCTGGCCCACATCCTGTTCCCGTGCCCACAGTTCCTCCCTGACCCCAGCACCCCCTCTGCCCACCCCTCGTGCCCGCCGGGGCTGGCAGGGACATACCTGTCCGTGGCTGTCTCCTGCCACACCTGCCTCGCACTTTGCCCGGCCCGTGGCGGCCCGGCCCACACCTCCCTGGTGGCACTGGGTGGATCCAAGTCCCTCTCTGGTGGCACTGGGTGGATCCAAGTCCCTCTCTGGTGGCACTGGGTGGATCCAGGTCCTGCTGCTCAAGGAGATGGCAGCCTGTGCACCCCACCAGGCAGACAGGTCCATGTCTTCCTGCCAGTGCATGATCTCTGGAGAGATGGGAAATTCAAGTTTTGGCTTGAAATAAGGATTTTTGACAGCCACTGCCAGCTGGGAAATACTTTGTTGGACTCTGGGAAAAGCTGGTGGCCCAGAAGAGAGTCAGCCAGGAGCCCTGAGGCTGTAACTGCAACTTCAGTGTGTTTTTTCCAATAGCAAGGTGAGGCACTCAGGAACCCTGGACTCTGGGAAAAAGGTTAGGACTCGTGGACCTAAACACATAAGCAAGAGCAGCCTGGGCTGCTGCCTGACCTTTGTACCATCACAGGCCTAAGCCTGCAGGCATCACCAGCAACACAGAGCCTGCTCCCCATTCCCAGATATCCCAGTGTGGGGAAAAAAAGCCTCATTCTGGGCTTTAGTGCTGGGAAGTGATTTTTGGTCCCTGGGCAATCGTGAGGCTGCAGGGTTTTCCTGCAGCACTCTCCAGCGCCCACGGAGCAGGGATTAGGGCTGGACAAGCTGGATGAGTTTTAAACAGAGCGAAGCTTTTTAAAACTCATTGGGAAATCTCCTACATCTCCGTAAACATCATTCCCTGCTCCCATTTGCAAGGATTTTTCAAAGCCCCTTTGATCTTCTATTCCTCACAGAGAGGGGGAAGGGAAAAAATGCAATTATGGATCCTAAGCTTCTTGGATAAACATTGTTCCAGAAACCTCTTTTTTTCCCCTTATGCACAATTTTTGAGTGTCAAGATTCCCTAGGACCCCAAAACCAGTGGCTCTGTGTTTCCAGCTTTTTCCAGGAGGATGAGATTACAAAGGAAAGGAAAGGCAACAGGGAAAACAACCTCCATCCCAACCTGATTTCGTCAGTATTTGCAGCAGAGGGAGGGAGGTTCATTCCACACATCTGACCCTGCCTGGGCTTCAAAGTAGCACTTAAATTCTTTATGAAGCAATTTTGTAACAATTCCTTTTATTTATTCACCGGGTTGAAAGTCACTTTATTTTAACTCCCTGCGAACACACTTCTCCTAGCCCAGATAAACCTTCCAGAGCAGGTGCTGGGCTGCAGAGACTTCATGGAGATGGAAAAAGTCAGAACCAAGGACCGATGGGGTTATTTTCCCCCATTTTCTGTTCTCAGTGATTCCAGCTTCCATACAGTCATGCTGTCGTCTTGTAACTTCTTGAATATGTGTTTTATCCCCAAGAGGCAAAAACTAAAACACCCAATCCTGTGCAGCCTCAGCTGCAGGACAATTTCCTTAGCACCTCACCACACTGGGTTCTGGGTTCCCCTTCCTAAAATCTTGAGGATTCTTAACTCAGTCAGATGGTGCCAGTTCTGTTTGACATCAGGAACCCGTGACCCAAATGCTGGTAGAGCTTTAATTGGTTTGGGTGGTTCATTCCATGGAGTGGGAACTGGAAATATCCCTGGTGGCACTGGCTCCATGCCTGCTCATCTTGCACAAATCTGCTGCACTGACCTTCAGACTTTCTTCCGTGGGCCTTTAAATCCTCGGGTGGCACCTTGTCCAAAGCAAATTGTGGATGGGATCCTGGAAAGGGAGACAGGCTTTAATCCACGTTAACAGCCCAGCCCTCACAGGCTCACTGGGATGCTTAATGCTCTGTGGGGCATTGGAAGCTCCCAGAGTGGAAAGAGCAAGGTGTGGGAGGAGCAGGACAGACAAATCACCAAATAATTTAAAGAATGGGTGAAATACTGGTTGGATTTCCCGTGTACCCTGCACATTCCTGTCCTGGAGGCCTCTTCACAACAAGGTGTGTTAGCAAATGTAACACTTGGGCAGTTGCAGTTGGTTGATAATGAGCAGGAGAGCAGAAGCAGCATCCTGCAATACCTTGGGAAGAGATCAGGTGGGCAGACAAACACAGCTTCCACAGCACACCCACGTCCTGCTCTTCCTCACACTTCCTTCTTTCAAAAATGGCTTTGGAAGCACACATGGGATTCCTGCCTGTTTCATCTTCAGGATGAAGAACACCCCAGTGCTGCAAAGGGTTGAAAAGATGGAGTGGTCCCAGCCCCATCTGCCCCAGAGGCCAAAGTACAGACCTGGATTTGTAGAGTCGTTTCTCTGGCAGTGAGGGGCCAGAGCTGGCTGCAGGCTGAGAGATCTCCATGTTCTCCTCAGGCTCTGTTTCCACGGGATTCACCTGGAATTGCTCTGCCATGTCCACGCTCACATCCATGGGCATGCTGGCACCCTGCTCCACGGGAGAGTTCCTGTGCTTGGAGCCACTGCAGAGACAAAATTTGACATCCTGGCTCAGGAGCTGCCACGTGAGCCCAGAGCCAAGGAAATCAAAGGTACTTCATGAGGAAACGAGTCCATCTGGGATGGATTTCTTCCCAATATCCCATCTAAGCCTGCCCTCTAGGAATGGGAAGCCATTCCCCCTTTTCCTGGCACTCCATCCCTCGTACAGAGTTTCTGTCTCTCCCATAGCTCTCCTCAGGCACTGGAAGGCCACAATTAGGTCACCTCAGAGCTATTCTTCTCCAGGCTGAACAATCCCAATTCCTTCCCACTTTCCTTGCAGGATAGGAGGAAAGTTCTGCAGTTACCTTTTCACTTTCTTGGGCCTGTCAAACCGAAAATCAGCAGGGTAAAGGTGCACGGTCACCAAGTGATCCTTCCTGTCCTTGCTGCTCTTGAACTTCTCCGTGCAGCCTTCCACCAGACACTGGTACTGAAAGGCAGGGAGGAGAAAGAAAAAAAGACATAACTGGGAAAAAAACAAGGGCAGACCAACCACGAGGCAAGGGCTGGGCATGGCAGCTCACCATATTTTGCTTCTCGGCCATTATCTGGAAGAGGGAGTCGTGCCACTCCAAGATGTGGATATCCAAGAGATTCCCAGAGGGAAAGGAGCGCTTGCAGAAGGAGCAGACATTCCTGTGCAGGGTGTTGTAGTGGTGCTCGTAGCCCTCCAGCGTGTCAAACACCTGGCTGCACCCAGAGATGTGGCAGCTGAACTCGGACACCCTGCAGGGAAATCGGGACATCCATGCTTTAAGCTAAATTAGAGCCTTAATTTCAGCTGCAAGCATCCCCTCTAGATGACTTTATCAGAGAATCCCAGGATGGCTTGGGTTGGATTGAACCACAAAGCTCATCTGATTCCAACCCTTTATCATGAACAGGGACACCTTCCACTAGAGTCACACCTGCAGCCACAATACTCCTGGCAATTTTTGGGACTAATACTTAAAATGCTTAAATGCATCCAGGTGCAATGGAACCAAGATCATGATGGTGCTGGCAGCTGGGAACTTATTTGCCATTGGAAACTTATTAACCATTGTGGCTTCAGGATCACTTAGATCATCCTTCTGTTAAACGGTGCTTCGGTGAAGAATAAACAAGCCACGAGGTAATGAGCTGTTTGACCTAAAAGTTGCAGTTGTGGATGACAACGCTATGCTAATACCCTTTTTTTTAAGAAGCATCCATAGGTGAACCTCGCACAACACTCAAAAAGTACTTCCTGGATTTTAAATGCAAGAACAAGACCAAGATTCTCCCCCAGGTTGGAGCTGTGCCAGCTTGCAGCAGCCCAGAGAAGCTGTGGCTGCCCCTGCATCCCTGGAAGTGCCCAAGGCCACGTCGGACAGGGCTCGGAGCCACTTGGCCTAGCAGAAGGTGCCCCACGGCGGGGGAGAGGAATGAGATGATCTTTAAGAACCCTTCCAACCCAAACCATTCCCTGATCCCATGACAATCGGACTCAGAGCTCGCCCGCAGCTGTGGCGACGAGACCGCCTCACTTACTTGGGTCTCTCGGCCACCTCCTCGAGGCTGGTGAGGACGCCCTGCAGGTAGAGGTGCCTGTGCACGTCCCCATCCTAGAGAGGAGCAGAGAGCGGCTGTGGGCGGGCGGGCACGGCCGCAAAGCACAGCGCAAACCCTTCAGCTCCGGGGCAAGCCGCGCTGGCAGCGGCCCCCACACAGCCCCGCGGGGCCGCCTCACCTCGAAGAGCGGGTGTTGCGGGCCGAGGCGGAGGCGGCGAGGGGCGAAGGTGAAGGGCGGCGTGGGCTGAGGAGGGTGCGGGGATGGGGGATCCTGAGGGAGCGGAGGGAGCCCCTCACGGAGGAGGAGGTGAAGGCGCGGCGGCAGCGGCAGCATGGCGCGGGCACTGCGCGTGCGCGAGGCTCTGAGGGGAAGTGGCGGAAAAACGGCGCCCCCGAGCGGCGGGAGGTGAGGAAAGAGGGCGCGGGGTCGGATTTTGGGGGAAAAAAAAGGGATTTGGGGACTCTTTTTGTGAGGGGAAAAAAAAGGGGTTCCCCCCCGAACCCTAAATCCCATGTTTTTGGGGGAAATTGTGGAGAAAAGGGGATCCTAAATCCTGAATTCGCTTTTTTTCGGGGGAAAATTGAGGGGAAAATGGAAAAATCCCCAAATTTCACCCCAAAATCCCCAGATTTCACTCCAAAATCCCCAAATTTCAGCCCAAAATCCATCCTGAGAGTCCCGAGGTTCAGGAACCCGTCTGGGGGTTCTGGAATATTCTGCTGGACCCCGCTCGGTGCTGAGGTTCCAGATCACCCAGGACAGTCCAAAACACCGGGAGAACCTCAGCAGCCTTCAGGACCCTCGGGATGGATCCGGAACCTTCTGGAAGAGGCTCAGGACCCTCGGGATTGATCCAGAACCTTCTGGAAGAGGCTCAACACCCTCAGGATTGATCCGGAACCTTCTGGAAGAGGCTCAGGACCCTCAGGATTGATCCAGAACCTTCTGGAAGAGGCTCAGCACCCTCGGGATTGATCCGGAACCTTCTGGAAGAGGCTCAGGACCCTTGGGATTGATCTGGAACCTTCTGGAAACCCCTCAGGACCCTCGGGATGGATCCAGAACCTTCTGGAACACCCTCAGGACCCTCGGGATGGATCCAGAACCTTCTGGAAGAGGCTCAGCACCCTCGGGATGGATCCAGAACCTTCTGGAAATCCCTCAGGACCCTTGGGATGGATCCAGAACCTTCTGGAAGAGGCTCAGGACCCTCGGGACGAATCCAGAACCTTCTGGAAGAGGTTCAGGATTGATCCGGAACCTTCTGGAAGAGGCTCAGCACCCTCAGGATTGATCCAGAACCTTCTGGAAGCCCCTCAGCACCCTCGGGATTGATCCGGAACCTTCTGGAAGAGGCTCTCAGCACCCTCGGGATTGATCCGGAACCTTCTGGAAGAGGCTCAGGACCCTCGGGATTGATCCGGAACCTTCTGGAAGGCCCTCAGCACCCTCAGGATGGATCCAGAACCTTCTGGAAATCCCTCAGGACCCTTGGGACGGATCCAGAACCTTCTGGAAGAGGCTCAGGATGGATCCAGAACCTTCTGGAAGCCCCTCAGCACCCTCGGGATTGATCCGGAACCTTCTGGAAGGCCCTCAGCACCCTCAGGATGGATCCAGAACCTTCTGGAAGTCCCTCGGGACGGATCCAGAACCTTCTGGAAGAGGCTCAACACCCTCAGGATTGATCCGGAACCTTCTGGAAGTCCCATCCTGAGGGTCCATCCTGAGGGTCCTGAGGGTGTTCCAGAAGGTTCTGGACCTTCATGGAAGGGTCCCCATGGCCATGGGAAAAACGGGAATTTAAAAAAAGAACGGAAATTGGGGGGGAAAAAAAGGGAAAATGAGGCCAAATTTGGGGTAAAAATGGAACAAAAGGAGAAAAATTGGGATAAAAATGGAAAAAAAAAAAACCCAGAACTTGAGGGAAAAGTGAAAAAAAAGGAGAAGATTTGGGGTAAAAAGAGAAAAAAAAGAGAATTTGAAGAAAAAATGGGGAAAAAAAAGGAAAATTTGGGGGAAAAGTGGAATAAAAAGAGAAAATTTGGGATAAAAATGGGGAAAAAAGGGAAAAAAAATCCTGGGGGATTTGGGGTTAAAATTCAGGAATTTTAGGGAGAAATTTGGGGATTTTGGGTGAAAATTCGGGGATTTTGGGAAAATTTTGAGGATTTTGGGTGGAAATTCGGGGATTTTGGGCAAAAACCTGAAATTTCGAGATGAAATTTGGGGATTTTGGGTGAAACTTGGGCTGAAAATCGAGGGGAAAACGGAAACTTGGAGCCTTTTTGAGGGAAAACTGAGGAAAAACCGGAGTCCCACAAAGATTTTGAGGCGATTTCAGTGGATTTTGGACAATTTAATGCGATTTTTGAGCCGTTTCAAACACTTTTGGTCACTTTTATGCCGTTCTTGATGCCCTGAATCCCTTTCTGGACCCATTAATTGACATTTTGGACCCATTAATTGACATTTTGGACCTATTAATTGGCATTTTTGACCCGTTAATTGACATTTTTGACCCGTTAATTGACATTTTTGACCCATTAATTGGCATTTTTAACCCATTTAATGCCATTCTGGACCTATTAAATATCACTTTTAACCCATTAAATGTCATTTTTAACCCATTAAATGTCATTTTTAACCCATTAAATGCCACTTTTGTCACCTTTAATGCCACTTTTGCCCCATTTAATGCCACTTTTGTCACCTTTAATGCCATTTTTACCCCATTTAATGCCATTTTTGCCCCATTTAATGCCATTTTCGTCACGTCTAAGGCCATTTCTGCCCCAATTCCCGCCGCTTTTGTGGCTGTTAGAAGCGTTTTGGACGCTTTTAATGCCGTTTTTGACATCTTTAAAAGGCTGGAATGTAACTTTTCCTCCCTGTCCTGTAACTTCCGCCTCCTTTTGCCCCAATTTGGGGTCGTTTCGTGCAATTTAAGGTCACTTTTCTCTGATTTAAGGTCACTTTTCTCCGATTTTAGGCGATTTTCCCCAATTTTGAGTCACTTTTCCCCAATTTTGAGTCACTTTTACCCAATTTTAAATGATTTTCCCCAATTTTGAGTCACTTTTCCCCAATTTTGAGTCACTTTTCCCCAATTTTAGATGATTTTCCCCAATTTTGAGTCACTTTTCTCCAATTTTAGGCGATTTTCCCCAATTTTAGATGATTTTCCCCAATTTTGAGTCACTTTTCCCCTATTTTGAGTCACTTTTCCCCAATTTTAAATGATTTTCCCCAATTCTGAGTCACTTTTCCCCAGTCCCGTATCCCTGATCCCAAATCCCGGTGTTTCAGTCGGATTTCGGGTGTTTTTGTCCAATTTCGGGTGTTTTTGTCCCAGATTTGGGGTGTTTCAATCCAATTTTGGTTGTTTTTGTCCGATTTCGGGTGTTTCAGTCGGATTTTGGTTGTTTTTGTCCCAGATTTCGGCTGTTTTTGTCCAATTTCGGGTGTTTCAGTCGGATTTCGGGTGTTTCAGTCCAATTTCGGGTGTTTCAGTCGGATTTCGGCTGTTTTTGTCCAATTTCGGGTGTTTTTGGGCCAGATTCAGCCCCAGCAGCGCCAGGTTAACCCCGTAGGTGCTGACACAAACCACGCACAGCTCCTGACCCCAAACCCCGGGGTTTCAGTGGGATTTGGGGTGTTTCAGTCCGATTTGGGGTGTTTCAGTCGGATTTCGGGTGTTTCAGTCGGATTTGGGGTGTTTTTGTCCCAGATTTCGGCTGTTTTTGTCCAATTTCGGGTGTTTTTGTCCCAGATTTCGGCTGTTTTTGTCCAATTTCGGGTGTTTCAGTCGGATTTGGGGTGTTTCAGTCAGATTTCGGGTGTTTCAGTCGGATTTGGGGTGTTTCAGTCGGATTTTGGCTGTTTTTGTCCCAGATTTCGGTTGTTTCAGTCGGATTTGGGGTGTTTTTGGGCCAGATTCAGCCCCAGCAGCGCCAGGTTAACCCCGTAGGTGCCGACACAAACCACGCACAGCTCCTGACCCCAAACCCCGGGGTTTCAGTCCAATTTGGGGTGTTTCAGTCGGATTTGGGGTGTTTCAGTCGGATTTCGGGTGTTTCAGTCGGATTTCGGGTGTTTTTGTCCCAGATTTGGGGTGTTTCAGTCGGATTTTGGTTGTTTTTGTCCCAGATTTGGGGTGTTTCAGTCGGAATTCGGCTGTTTTTGTCCAATTTCGGTTGTTTCAGTTGGATTTTGGCTGTTTTTGTCCCAGATTTCGGCTGTTTTTGTCCAATTTGGGGTGTTTCAGTCGGATTTCGGGTGTTTTTGGGTGAGATTCAGCCACAGCAGCGCCAGGTTAACCCCGTAGGTGCTGACACAAACCACGCACAGGTCCCGCAGCCGGAACAGCAGCACCGCCCCGAGCCACAGCGACGCCAGCGCCGACGCCGCCGACGTCACCAACAGCGTCACCGCGGCCGCGCGGGAGCGGGACAGGCCTGGGGGGACACGCGGTGACCACGGTGAGCCCGGTGACCCCACGGTGACCCCAGAGTGACCCCTGAGTGACCCCAAACTGACCCGAGTGACCCCTGAGTGACCCCTGAGTGACCCCTGAG